ATTTCGGGTTGGAACTCAGGTGGGCAAGTCGAATCTTCTAGAAGAGAAACTCAATGTTACAAGCAGATATTGGGCAACTGTGGCTTCTTAACCCTCCATGGTCCACGCCGCCCAAGTATAGGGGCGGGGCAGGGGCCGTAGCGATTTCAGTCAGCAGCGACCAATTTCTCACCCTGAATCAAATCCTGGATCAAATCCAATCGAACGTAGTTGTTCTCTCGATTGAGGTCATATAATCGCTTCTAGACCCGTCTGGGAGGTTGATAGCAGTAACTGTGGATTATCTTTGAAACCAATCCAGTGCACGCGCTAAATATGCTTTCAAAATCCATCGCAATTTTCACTGCAGTTCGTGGGAATGGCGCATTTTAAGAGCAGTAAAGCAGTGATGAGCCATGTATTCTTTTATGGCCATAAAATAAAAAATCGGGGTAGATCAGCTTGGTGGGGGCATTTTGCTCTATCACTAGTTCCTTTTGCTGCAGGGGTCGTGTTTACCAATAGGCAAGCTCCTGGGAAGCTGCGATGTGGGCGAAATGGTACAAGGTGCCACAGTGGTCAAAAAAATTTACAGGAAATTTCAAAGTGGCCGGCATAGGTTTCACTGAGTACCACTTGGTGCTCCCACCAGGCGAAATCGCGCCGGAAATCTCTTATAAGTCGAATATTCTCCTTCAGAATGGCGTTTTTCTGCACATGGAGCCAGCTGGCGTTCCACTGCTGTTCCCTTTTCTGCCGGAAAATCTCCGCTCTCTTGGCTATTCGACGTATCTCGTTGGAAAATGGCATCTTGGTTACTGTCGGAAGGAATTTCTGCCCACATCGCGTGGTTTTGATTACTTCTACGGATTTTATGGACCTCAAGCTGGTTACTTCAATCACAGTTCAGGTTTGGTGAATTTATGTGCTCTGTAAACGTTCCCATGGTTTTGAGTACCCTATTAAACGCCCATTTATTGTTCACTACCGGTCATATTTTGATCTATGGGGACCGGATAATAACACGCGCAGGCAGCGCTTTCATCACATTAGATATGTTCCCAAAGTGTAAGCTTTTTGGTCTTCAAAAGGGATTCACCTGGGCTCTGCTATCTGATGGGCTCGCCCCAACTTGTGTAAATACTAAAGTGATTCGAACATGCGTGGTCTTTATTCTGAAACTTAAAAATGAGAAGGACATGTCGCTCTTTTTTATTCGTCCCTATGTGCATACATTTATGAAATAGACTTCACACCACACCTCCTGCCTTCTTCAGCTGCTCAGTCAATTCATTCCCTTTTCTTTGGCGGGTTTGGTTCTACCGGAGAAACTTGCTCTGAGGCCGATGTCGACCAGGGTACAACACACCAAGGAGAGGGTTGCACTAGGTTGCTAGAAGTCGTATCTGCCTTCAAAATCTTCCGAGATACGAATAATTTTCTACGGTGATTGGTTCTCCCTCCCCTCACTGCCGCTTGTTGGGAGCTCCGTCGGAATCTAATACAACTACTACTCTCGACAGTTGAAATTTATAGTCGATGAGTGGCTAAACCCCCGCCCTGCACCGACGGGAGCTTTTTTGGAGAAAAATAGAAGGATTTTCGGAAACTGCGAAGTTGCGAAAACTTGGAAATGTTATAGCTACGATGAGGAAGGAGGTTCTATCAGAAGAAGAAACTTCGAAGGCGGGAGAAAGTCGTTCGACACCTAATTCTCCTATCCAGATGGTGAAGGGGGTCGTGGGGAGGGAGACGCCTGACACTGCCATGTGTGGCATCCCGATTTTGTACTGTGCCGACTCAAGCACTCATGAGAGCATACTCGATCTGTACAGGGGAGGGGAAAAGAAGACACTCAGCCCGAGACACATATCAGTAAAGAATACGCAGCCTAGAGAGAAGACATGGATGCGTGTACCATCGCGGAAGGTGCCCAAGACGTTCCTCCATAAGCAAGAGCTGGCTCTCGCCCATCACCTATAGCTACGATGAGGAAAAAAATTCATGTACACCAAAATATGAAGCCATCTCCAATTGTAGCTGCATTGGAGAACGTCATACAATTCGCGTCACCTCCAAACAGCTGCGAAACTTCTTGTGTGGAGTCACCCACAGGGCAGATCGCTTGTTGGGGAATCCCCAATAGGGGGTCTTATTTGGTCGACAGGAGAGGGGGTCGTATTTGGGCCGGGTTATTTTGATAGTTGATTTTCTCGCTTCACGGACGTTGTAAAAAGGGGGGTCGTATTTACGTTTTGGCGTTGTAGGAGCGGTGGTTGACTTTTTGTGATTTTCCTGTTTCATGCGTACTATATACCCCTCCCCCCCCCGCTCGACGGCTCGATTCGATGAGGAGGGACAGAGGGCCGCAGAGGGAGGGGCGTACCAATCCCCAAAAAAAAAGGGGGGGGGTCGTAGAGACTCAACCAAAATCCTCAACCAGCGATGTGCCCTGGTCACGCATAGACATGGGGACCGGCGCGGGTTGATGGTATGGACCGGATGTTCTTGGGATGGGAAGACCGATAGAGTTTGTGGACCTCGTATCAAAAACGAGCGTTGACGGTTAGAACAACTCGAATATCCTGCCTTCATGTCGTCGCCTGTACCATCTTGGAAACTCCACACTGCTACAGGATTGGGTGCCAGCACATGGAATCGAAGGGCGTTGGAAAAACTCTCGCCTACTTGGAATCGAAGGGCGTTGAGTACCTGAAGGAAGACGAGTGTGTCACCTGACCTACACCCCCTCGATTACCGGGTTCGGGAGGAGCTCAACAGGGTGGTCTACAGTGGCGGAGAAATCAACGACCTCGCTGAACTCAGGCACCGAATCACGGTCGCGTGGCAGAATCTCTCGATGGCGTTCGTCCAGAGGATGTGGCGGAGTATCATGATAGTATACAATATGCTGTTGAATATGGTGGTGGAAATGTCCAATCAGAATTTAATAAAGTGTAACTTATTTCGCTTTGAAAAATCGAGCAAAAAACAAGGTTCTTTCTATTGCCTCCCATGTGGGTGTACCTCAGATAGAGTTCCCGAGCCCCCGGGGCTAATCCCCCATCCAGCCGGTTTCCCTGGAGTTGGTAGCCCCCTCACCTTTTCCGACGGTGTGATTCATGGGAATAGCTTTTACGGTGCAG